TAATTCTATCCATAGAGTTTGTTAGATGCCATTCTGACCATACGTGTTTTATCCACCGTTCTTCGACTGGTCGATGTATCATTCTTCTTGTCTATATTGGTGATATCATCATTATTGGCAATGACATCCCTGGGATTGCTCAAGTAAAGCTTTAATTGGCTAAAGCTTTTGATTTGAACGACCTTGGGCAGCTCATATATTTCTTGGGAATTGAGGTTGCTAGATCTAAGCAGGGTATCTCTTTACCACAAAGAAAGTATGTCTTGGATCTTCTTCAAGACACGAGTACACTTGGGTGTAAACCTACTTCCACTCCTATGGATCCTAATCTAAAGATCTCGGCTGAGTCTGGAGATCTCCTTTGTGATCCCTCACAGTATCAGCGCTTGGTAGGAAGATTGATTTGTCTTACCAACTCCCGTCCTAATTTGGCTTTTGCGGTTAGTATTGTGAGTCAGTTTATGCATGCTCCTCGTACAACTCATATGGATGCGGTATATAATATTCTTCGATATCTTAAGTCCTGACCTAGACTTTGATTATTGTATTCTTCTAGCAGGTAGGTTGGGCTATCCTGTTTCAGTGATGCAGACTATATTGGGTCCAAGACTGACAGACGTTTCACATCTGGCTTCTATACTTTCTATGGAGATTATCTTATATCCTGGAAAAATAAGAAACAACCTGTAGTTTTGAGATCTTCAGCAGAGGCTGAGTATCGTGCCTTGGCCCATGGTACTTATGAGATTCTCTGGCTTCGATATTTCTTAGAGGAGCCAGAGCTAAGTGAAAAACAGTCCTCAAACTTGTTTTGTGATAATAAGTCAACAATCATGCTTGCTTCAGATTCTGTTCTTCATGAGAAGACAAAACATATAGAGGTGGACATTTATTTTATCAAAGAGAAGGTTTGTTCAGGAATTATCAAGTTGTGCTTTGTTCGGTCCTCTAATCAGTCGACAGATGTGTTCACCAAATCCGTTGGTCCATCTTTGCTTCATTCCTCGATTACCAAGATGGGTTTGATTGATATCTTCACTCCAGCTTGAGGGGGAGTGTTGAAATATCTGTATTATTATTATTTTTATTTTTATTAACTGTTTTCAACCTTTTATTAGGTGTTTTATGTAAGATCCTTATTATCATAGGATCACGTAGATAAAATCCCCATAACTATGGGATCACGTAGATAAGATCCCCATAATCATGGGTTCACGTAGATTTTCGCATATTTCTTGTTTTTCTTTGATTTGGTTTCCTTTCTTTTACCCTATTCTTGTATATAAAGATAGCTCTTGGCTCTAGGTTTGAGTAAGCCAAAACCCAAAACTTCTTCTTTTAATATCAATTTTTTAAAGAAAATAAGGTTGGATACTTTGAGGTATATTCATAATGATGTTTCCAAGACTGTTATGTGTTAAATTTATAAAAGATGAAAAGTGTGTGACATATTGGTCGGCTGTCCGAAATGTGTTGAAAAATGTTCGAAATATGTCAGCCAAGTGTCCAAGACATGTCGGCCAAGTGTCTGAACTGATAAAAATTATTTTTAAATTATGGACACAACTATGAAGCGTCAGACACGTGTCCAAGAGTGTCCATGAAGTGTCCGTGTCCGACACAGTATCTGACATGGACATGGCACCCTTTTAGAAGTGTCCGCACTTCTTAGCTACCCACGTTAACTACGGTCTTCCTCTTCTCCTAATATTACCCTCAATGTACACTGTGCTACTCTTCCTAATTGGCGCACTTGAAACTCTTTTGTGCACATGTCCAAACACTTTTAAGTCTTAACTGATTTTCTCTCATTTTATCTCCAATTGGTAGTATTCCAACCATCTCATGAATGTGCCCATTTCTATTTCTACCCTTTCTAGTCTTACCGCGCATGTATCTTAACATTCATATTTTCACCACACTCACTTTATGCATATATTGTTTCCTAGCTGCCCAACATTTTGTCCCATAAAGTATGACTGGTCTAATATTCTAGATGCACTCCTCCATCTAACCCATCGTGCCTTGATTCTATGCTTAACAACAGATCCAATTTCTTCTTCATTATGAATAATTGAACTTAAAAAATGAAAATATTCATTTTTTATACCTCTTGATTCTCAATTTTCTCTACAGTCTCATTTACATTTCTAGATTTACTAAAGTTACACTCCATATATTTTGTTCTATTTCTACTTATCTTAAGCCCTTTTAATTTTAGTGTTGCTTAAATTTAGTGCTACTCTCCAAAGCTCCAATTTGGCATTAACTCCTTCTCTAGTCTCATCGATTAAAACAATATTATCAACAAATAACATACACCACGGAATCTGATCTTCAATGTGTGTTGTCAACTCATCCATAAGGCAAAAAGGTATGGGCGTAATGCTGACCCTTGATGTAATCCTACAGTAATTGAAAATTAACTTGTTTCCCCTACATTTGTTCTAACTATAATCACTAGATCAAGACTGATCTATGTATTAAACAACCATTTAATACCCTTAGTAATTTTAATGCAAGTGCCATGAAAATTTAAGGTAAGGTGGTCCATGAGGAGAACATTAATGCTCCGTTTGGTTGGAAGGATGGAAGGGAGAGGGAAAGGTATGGATGAGGCATCCCTAGGGAAGGGAAGGTGTCTCCCTAATTTTTTGTTTGGTTGAATGGAATGGATAGTAGAAAGGATGGATGACTGAAAAAATAAATAAATAAATAAATAAATAATTGTTTGGTTGGGAGGAAGGGAAAGAGGTTTTATATTCTTTTTACCAATAAACCCTCATTATATAAAATTATAAAAATTAGATATCCATTCCAAATTTTTGGGAAGGTTAAAAATGGAAATTACTGATTATTCCTTATTTCTCTCTCCTTTTCATCCCTAGTTGCTTTCGCCCTCTTTTCCCTTCCCTCCAACGAAACACTAAAAAACTCTTCTATACCCCCCACATCCATCCCTCCTCATTCCATCCCTCCAACCAAACACAGCATAAGAGATATACAATTAGCAGGTTCATACGTTGAGCATGGGTGATCATGGAGCAAAACAAATTTTCATTGGCATGGTACTGTTCTAGCACAAGAGTCTTTATACTATTTTATCACATGTAGGCAAATAAATTTCCCTAGTCACACTTTCTTTAGAATAATTTTTTTCTACTTTTTTAAATTTTTAATATCAAAACAAAAATGTATGGGAAGAAAAAGAATATATTTTTGTCTACAAATTCTAAACAAAAAATGAGTTTGCCTAAACACATCTATAATATTTTTTTCCATTTTATTATGTAGAATTTTTTTAATTATTCAAACAAAAAATCGAATTTAAAAACTACGGTATTAAAAGAAGAATTTTTGGGTTTTGGCTTACTCAAACCGAGAGCCAAGAGTTATATTTATTTACAAGAATAGGGTACAAAGAAAGGAAACCAAATAAAAGAAAAACAGGAAATATGCCAAAATCTACGTGATCCCATGATTACGGAAATCTTATCTACGTGATTCCATGATTACGGGGATCTTATCTACGTGATCACTTGGGATCTTATCTACTTGATCCCTTGATAATAGGGATCTTACATAAAACAACTAATAATAATAATACAGATATTTCAACAGTATTTATATTGATGCATTCAACAGTATTTATATTGATGCATTATTTTATGGTTAAGGATATGTTTTGATGCAAGATGGGAAGAAAATAGATCACGCCTTGAGATAATTGAAGCCATGTAAATAAAACTATTCTAGAGTTCTACCTTGGACCCACAGGTTCAAAGTCACTAAAACTACAATGGCCAAGTGTAGCGACTAAAAAGTCTGATCCTAGTGGATTGGGGTTATAAAGTGGGATCCTCAAAATTGCATCAATCCCTCTAGTGACAACAGATTGAATTGTATTAATTTGATATGGGTAACCAAGGGATAATAACAACTATAAGTTTTCCGTAGCACAGATCATCCTACTAATAGTTGCATATTAAATGTTTTAGGTTGCATCAACCCTTTTTATAAAAACTTCAAGTCGGGTGTGGTTGCAACTGTAGTTGTAAACTTGTAATAGCATATCACACACTCAAGTATGATTAGTCACTTTGTGCAAAAAAATGTTAAAAGGTTATGTTTGACCCACTCTAAACATCCTACATAGGTGAGACATGTATTGGCCAATGGCCTTTTCTTAGTGTATGACTTGTGTGCATGCATGACTAGAACTATCGTGTTCTTTTATGCATTCACAATTATCATTGTTGCTACCATGACATCATACTAGTATAACATTGGCAAAAGGGTAGTTTTCTTAACTAATTACTTTAATCACATAATTGTTAAAGAGATCAGGGGTGATCACCGTGAAAAGGCAACTTTTTTAGTATATATTTATGTATTGAGTTATGAACTTATGTTTGCTAAGTCTTTCAAGTAATCAAGGAAACTAGCATTTTCTCGCAAATGGAGTTCATTAAGTTTTAGTGGGTATATTAGTTCAGTTGGGACTAGTTTTTGTGAGAGTGGAATTTGTAGCGAGGACCTATATAATGACATTAAAGGTATAATTCATTTAGTTCAAAATTTGTACTAAATTTTCTTCAATCCCAAATCCAAGGCGCCGATTTGGTGCCACCAAACATAGCATAAATGAATTTCACAAATGTATAAATTTTATGAGTTCTGAACCTTTTTTTTCCCAGGAAAATGGGTTCATGTGTAGGAGATGATTTTTAGTTTTTTTATTTTTCCTTTCTTATAATCATCAATGATTAAGTTGCATATTCATGTGATCTATTATTTATTCTTCTCCAATTGAAGTTCTTTTTAGATTTCATGCCTTGCAAATCTGGTTCTTATGGAAGCATAGTAAAATACCAAAATGTTGTGTGACTATAACGAATGTAATGTAATTATCTATTTGGTATTCACAAATTTTAAGAAAACAATAAATGAATGGATAACAATGAAAAGAAAAAAGTCATATCTTTCTGATTATGTGATACCTGTTTGAATATGGTACTTGTCCCAGATTTATCATGACCAACTAGAAGAAGTTTATTGAGTGTTTTCTGGTCAATGAAGTTCAGAACAACTCTATGAGCAAGATTTTCTTTTTCTTCCACACAAGGATTCACAGACTCAGGAGGAATTGGCAAAGACAAGAGCGCACAAAATAGCTTGATTCCAGTCTGGAAAGAAAGTTTGTTGAGCATATTTGAATGTCTGATGATTAAGATGAAATATAAAAAACAAACATGCAAAAGGAAAACCAGATTCACAATCACCTTGTCCCATATTCGCCCCCTCAAATTATTCTGTCCCTCTTCCTGATAGGTCCCATCAGCACTCACCCAAAAGTGAGTGCTTCCTTCGCAATGGATTCTTGCCAACTGTACGATTCCACAGAATGGTGAAAAATTTATACATTTTCAAATTTACACTTACATAACTAGATCATGTCAGCAAAACAACCTGCAGCATCCAGAGCTCTGCTTTTGTAATCTCCCGGTTATTTATTAATATATTTGTGTTTCCATTGCTAGCATCCTGCATGATGGGATTACCAACAGCCAGTTGGGGGCTTATAATCTGACAAGGCTTCTGCCCTTCCTGTTTGAATAAGCCAAGTACATTATTTTAATCATGAGTCCATGACATAACAAAATTTAAGTTTCAGAGAAAGAAGTTTTAGTAGAATTTGATGCTCACCTTTCCCCAAAGCCCAGACACCTTATCATACCAATACTTTCCCGGTTTTAACTTTTTTGGTGGGTTTTGACAGTTTTGCAATGAAGCCAACTCTTCGTGACAAAGGGGCTTGCCATTCACACAAACAAGCTCAGGTGCTAGCTGATTTGCTTCACATGATACCTCAGATCTCATTATCAGTTTTACTTCCATATCTGTAAGCAGCCTCTTAAGCATCCGGGAAAATTTCCCAAGGGTCCCCCGCTTTGACTCATCAATTGGCAAACCGATGCAAGTAATGCATTTTCTTCCTTCAGGCATCGATCCCATTGCTCTTAGCACACAATTGGCACAATACTTTGCATCACAAACTATGCAAACCTCCTTTTTAGTGAACCGGCTTCCTTTAGAGCATCGACGACATAACCCTTTCATCACATTAGTTTTACTCCCCTTTCTTTCTTGGATGATTTCCAGCTCAGCGTGATCATTTTCATCAGGAACTACATAACTTGGTTCCGGACAATGGAAAGTTACAATCGAAGTCCTGTTGACATGACAGGGAGTTTCATCAATGCAATTCTCATTTTTGCAAGAAGAAGCCTCTGAGGAAGTCCGGCATATCAATGGGGATTTGTTCAAATCCCAACCCACCTCGCCATCATCTTGTAAAGCCCCAACATCCGAGCTTCCTGATAACTCATGGGAATCTTCAGGACCATCAGAAAACCCCAATGTACCAGAACTTCCAGTTCCATCAGCTACATTGGGTGCTGCATATTCATCACCTTCTGTCAAACTTAACGCAGTCGACCTATACATCACTTTTAGTGATTTACATGATAGGGCATCATCATCAGAGAATGCAACCTCACTCGAACCAAAAAATTCACCCGAATGGCCCCTTGAATTTTGCCACACGGTAACTCCAGACCTTAATTTTGACTCCATTGACGATTTCTTGTTCAAGGGATCACTCTTCTTTGCAATTGGTGGAATAATTGGCAATAACAAATTAGAATTCGACAAGGAAACTCGGGCAGCGACAGGAATAGAGTCAATATCCACCGGAACTGCCCGGGGAATATCATAGGTGACTGGTGGACCACTGTACTCCACCGTGAACGAATACTCAGCACTGTACTCATCACCATCATATTCATTGCCATCCCTAGCTGAAACAGGTAAAAACAATTTCAGAAGGCTAGTCATCTTTGCTACTTCAATCCAAAGGTGGGTTGAAACCTAAACCCTAATTTCAAACCCCTCAGAAATCATCAAAAATTGAACATTAACTCTCTCAAAAATTGAACATAAACTCTCTCTCTCTCTCTCTAACAATTCTTAAGAGGAGTGAAATGGATATAATTTGGCTGAAACCTAAACCCTAATTTCAAACCCCTGTGAATAAAAAATCATCAAAATTTGATCTTAAACTATCTCTCTCTCTCTCTCTTTCCTGATCTAAAAATTAAGCAAAACACACGATATACTACTTTTTCAATACTTGAGAGAAGCGAAATGGAAATCATGTGAAGAATGAAAAATACTAATATAAAAATAGACTGAAACTTGGAATTATTATAGAAAATGGAATGTGGTTTGGTCATTCTCTTACCAGCAAAGAACGGAGACTTGAGAGGAAGAAGATTGTGAAGAGACCCACAAAAATCAGAAGACCAGATCAACGCGCTTTGTGGAAATTTTCCAGGAAAGAGAGAGAAACGCTAAGAAAATTTTAAAAAGTGGTAGTTAATTTAGTTAGTGGTATCCTGTGCAGCAGAATGTAGCATTTTCCGGTTTGTACATATATATATATGTTCACAACTGATCAAAGGGTAATTTTGTCACTGAGATGGCAAAAGAAAAGGTCATTTTGTCATAAATGTACAGCAAACACTGGAGGAACTTTTGTTCTACATATTTGTTTTTTGTTTTCTTCTATTTCTAGGAGTACGAGACCCGTTTTGTCATTTACAACTTTGTTGACCTAAGTGGGTAAGAAATAAATGCGTAAAAAATAAGTCATTGTCACGTGAGTCTAGTTTTCCAATTTAGCTATGTTGTCGACTAGTTTCAATGGCATCATAGGTCAAATTACCAAATTAACAAGTCTCTTTATTAGTCAATTTAGTGAAGTTTTTAAAACTAATATATCAAAAAAAAAAAAAAAAGAATAATAATATTTAAACTTATGGTTTTTGTGTTTTTTTATTCACAGTGGAAGTATCCACATCTTACGGGGATGCATGGATGGATCTTTTAATGAGCTAACCTAGTTTATATAGCACATTGTCCAATTTTTTTTAGAAAATTAATACTACTTTTTTTAGTACTACTTTTTTTCTTTCTATCGGCCCAGTCCATACTACTACTCTTCCATTTCCTATTGGCCAAATCCATATATGATATGTTATCAAGTTTTACTAGACAATACTTAGATCCTCACTAGTGAGGATCTACAACATACTACCATCTATAATTTAGTAATTAAATATGACATATCTATATATTATTGGTCCACATCAGCTGTCAGTATGGTGTAGATCCTTATTAGTGAGGACCTAAGTATTGTTCTTTTTACTACTTTTCAGTCACTTCCTCTCAACACGCGATGGTATTTTCCTCATAGGGTTTGGCCTGGTATTTTTCTTATAGGGTTTGACCTGGTATTTTCTCTCACATGGCTTGGCCTATTTGGGGTCTAGCAAGGAAATTGCATACTTGAGTGGGGGTACAATTTCTCATCTTTTTGAACAAATATAAATAAAAAATCAGTGAAGAGAATACGTAAAAGAAGAAGAATCTCTCTGATATCAGGAAACTCTATTTACGGGTAATTTTTAATTTTGTCTATTTTTTAATATATACTATAACATATCTTTATCATAAAAATTATTGTGTTCATCTTCAAATTTTCTTATTATCTTTAGTCCCTTACTTTGCAATCCTAGCTCTGCCACTGCGGGAATGGCACACGTGGACCGGATTATAATTTAACCTGTGTGAGTATTCCCACGAAAATAAATTGTTTACCTAGAGACTCGAATCTAAAAGTATGAGACATGATACTTCATAAGGCACTAGGACCGAATTTTTCACTCGTTAAACCAATTGCACGGAGTTTGAGCTGAGTCAATTTAAGATCTTTGGATTCCTAGTGTTATTAAATCTTGCAAAGAGAAGTATCTTTGAATTTTATATCAATGATCTAATAAAATTTATTTCTTTAAGATAAATTATAGGAAATTCTCTCACACTATTGGCTTTTTTTTATTTGTAGAAATAGTAAAATGAAAGGTGCCAATGCACGAAATTGAAAGTCTTTGATAAATTGGGAAAAAAGTAAATTTGCATGTTGAAATAAGTTAGTTTTGAACCAAAGTTGAAAATCATAAAAGAAGAATTTATAACACATTTCAAAAAAGAAGATAACACTATTAGCTTTCACTATTGAAAATCAAACCAAAAAAATATAGAATTATAATTTATAATTAACAATTATAATTAAGAGCAAGGCACATGTTTTTGTGTATAAAATTAAAGTTTATACTATCTTTACTCAAGTGATACACTTCAAAACTAAATTAAAGTCCAAAAATATAAAATTATAATTTGTAAACAACAAGTTCTTCACGTGTCTGTGTTATAAAACTAAATTATCTTTACTCAAGTGACTCGCTTCAACTGGTTCTGGGTTCATTCCTGGTTCTGGGTTCATTCCTTGGTTCTTACAAATTGAAAAATAGAGTTCAAATCTCTTGAATTATTTTAATAAAACAGTTTACTTTAAGACTCCGTTTGTTTCGACGTAAAATATATTTTTTTAAAAATATTTTTTTTTTCGGATAAAATATTTTTTTATTTTTACCTTTGTCAATATTTGGCAAAAGTAAGTCTATGTAGAGGTTAAGGTTAAGTCCTTCAGGCGGGGCATGTAAAATAACTCTATTTATATGTTCTTCGAATTTTTGATGTGTAATCAATCTTCTGTTTTATCTAACATATATTTTTGATGATGATTGTGCTATAAAATTAAATTATTTTAACATGACTTTCCTAGTTGCGATGCTTCATATGATGAATTACATAATATATTGTCTAGGGTTTCACATAAATATTTTAGACCTTTAAGCTTATTTTTGATGAATTATATAATGATTTTCTTAATGTGAGAACTAAATTTTTATTTTGTTGAACAAAAATAAATCTATGCATCTGAAATTAATTTAAATACTAGTTCAACAATTATATTAGGAAAATACTTGCCTACTCACCGGTGAGTAGGTTCATTCTACTGACCGATTATGTGTTCCAACAATAAGTGGACACATCGGCTTTAATGACAAAAAAAAAAAAAAAAAAAAAAGTAATTGAAAAAGGAGAATAAAGTTGGATCGACCCATTTCAATTGAGTAACTGACAACCTGTATTCAAACTTCTTTTTTTTTTTCACCCATCCCAGTTTCTCCATTGTTCTTCTTCTTCTCACAGGTCATCATCAATCAATAGGCCTTGTTATTGTTAATTCACTTCTATTGCATCTTCAATGGGTTTGTAGATGTACCTCGATTGGATTATATAATTTATGTTATTTATAACATCTAATGTGATATATAAAATATTTTTTTTCCGTAAATAAACAAATCAATAGAATATATATATATATTTTTTTGTTTTTTTGGGTAACTAATCAACCAGAATATTTTTTACTAACACGATCGTAGCAGAAACTTGAGAAGCTCCGTTTGTTTTTCTACCAACAAAGCTATTACATCAATTGAATTCTTGACCTCTAAACATACATATTCAACGATACACATCCAATATACAAACAATTCGTACTAGAAAAGCATATATGATCATAATAATAGTGATCAAATAGGATCAGAAGTTTAACTTCTTAGAAAGTCGTAAGAAGAAGCCGAAAAAGTAACCCCACAGCCCACCCTTGTCTATTGAGTGATATGACGCCCGAGCGATTTTGCAAAAGTGTTCACCTATTGATTGACGATGTTCCATGAAAGACGAGAGGAAGAAGAATGGTGGAGAGAGGACGGTGGCGTGAATCTGGGAAGGGAGTGAAAGATAAAAAAAAATACATCGGGCTTAAATATAGCTACCCAATTGAAGCGGGTCAATCCTGCTTTATTCTCTTTTTTTATTACTTTTTTTTATTTTGTCATTAAAGTTGATGTGTCTACTTATTATTGTAACACATAATCGGTCAGTAGAATAAACCTACTCACCAGTGAGTAAGCAAGTATTGTCCATTATATTAAGCAAGGTCAAGAAGGAATGTGATATTTTACAAAGCAGAGTTATTGCAGTTTAAATTAAATAAACACTATCTAGGCAAATGAATATTGAACATAAAGCTAAATTAGAACTAAAAGTACTTATAGAAAGTAACACATAGTAAAGCTTGAAAACTAGATTGGGAAGAAAGCTCTGAAGTACTTCTAATTAGAATAAGGACATATTATAAATAAATAAATCTCCCCATACACAATCCAAATTGTCATTAATATTTTAAAAAGGACATGTTAAATCTAAATGCGAAAAATGTGCTGATGATTAATTTAAAGTTATACAATTAACATAGATTATTTTTCCCTTCTTACTAGTGTATTTATAAGTTTTTTTGTTACAGCTCTCTTATTTTCTTACTAATTGGGTTTTACTCTTATGATATGTTTGGTTGGAGGAAAGGATTGAAGAGGGATGAATGAGGGAAATAAAAGAACTTTTTCCGTGTTTGGTTGAAGGGAAGAAAAAAAAAAGGGAGGAAGCAATGTGGGATGGGTATTTTTCTATCCACCCAAAATTAGGGGAAGAAGGATAATAATCACAAAAGTTTGTTGTATAATTTGAAATGGATTTCTAATTTCATATAATGAGAGGTATATTGATAAAAAAAAAAATTCTCTATTCTTTCATTCCAACCAAAAAAAAAAAAAAAAAAATGTGTTTATCGAGCCATCATTTCTCCATCCATTCCATCCAACTAAACAAACAGTGAGAGACACTTTCCCTTCCTCAAGATGACTCATCCATCCCTCTCCTTCTCCCCTTTATATTTCCATCCCTCCAACCAAATGGAGCTTTAATTTTTCTCTCACAATATCATTTGTAAGCCCATATCCTCACGTTACTCCGATAATTCATTTTAACATTCTCATTTTTGCTGCATGATACATTAGTCTCGTTTTCATTCTAAAGTTACAACATTCTGAACATATATAATAGTTGGTCTAATCACGGTTCTTTAGAAATTTTCTTTTAGCCTGTTTGTTATTTTTTTCATAAAAAGTGTCACTAACTTGTCTAAATTTTTTCCACCTTAACCCAATTCTACTAGTTATATAAATATTTCTCTCTCCATCATTTTGTATGATCAATCCTAAATATTGAAAATGATTACTTTGAATTATTAATTCGTTAATTTTGAAGAGTTTTCATTATATTCTTAAAACTTGTATTTATAATAAATTTACATTTCATATACTATATTTTAGTTCTACTAAGTCGCAATTCTTTTAATTCTAAAACATTTCTTTACATCCACATTTCTAATTTTACTGCTAAGTTTTGTTTTGAAATATTGCA